AGTACACTTATCTATTTTTTTCGGCGGCTTTTTTACTTCTGTAAAGAGACAGATGTTTAAAAATTGATGAATAACACTTATAGTTATAATGGTAATAAACTGACTTTAAAATAAAAAGTTAGAGTCAAGAAATAAGCAAAGTAGAAGGTAGAAAAGTCTGATAAATAATACTATTTGAAAGCTTCTATTTGACAAACCGTTAAGAATTGTTAAGAATTTTTAATTCTTCAGAAAGAGTCTATCTCTAACCTGTTACGAAAGGCTGAGTAATGGTTGTGTGCAACATTTGCAAAAGGTTTTTTCAAATCTTTTTTACGATGAATTTACAGGTACTTAAGAAAGAATTCAGTGCGGGGCATTTCAGTGATCTTTAAATTATGCAAATCCAAGTGTAAATTTAAGCAAACTTCCTCTTAATTTATTACATTATATTTTGAAAATCAATTTATATTCATTTAGCAGCAGTTTTAAGCCTGAGTTCAACCTGAAAGTTACTTCCGATGACACTTCGTCCATGATTAGATCATTGAATAAGTTCAGCGCAGAAATAGTACCGTGCTGTGTGAGGAATCCGACAAATGGTTAAACGATCTATGTCAAAGAATGGGAAAAAACTTCTCGACTAGCATATTATGATTAGCTTAATTCGTCGTAAGTGTAAACTTAAGTTGTCTAAGAGCGTACTTCAAACGAACAGAAATTAAAACTAGCAGAAAGAAAAAGACAGCGAGTACAAAAGAATGTTTGGAGGAAAAGACAGCAGTGTCTGAACGGCCAGTATTTATTACTGCTGTTAAGTACACATCTGTAAGCTTTAGTAGGAAACTGTATTCTGATTGTTTAGTACCACACTCCGACTGTTATTCTATAAACAATCGATGTTTTCACAGTTTTACCTATATCATTTGCGTGGCAAAAAAAACCGATTTCACTTTTCAAAACCTACTTCTTCAGCTTCCTCTTTTCCGTTGTTTTTTTTTTCCTCTTGAAAGGAGCTGAAAACCGTTACAAATCCAAGCCCTTTTGTGCAAACTTCAAGGTAAAAACTAATCAAACGTGAAATTATAGCTGAAAACTCAGGATAAATGTGAAAGAAAAATAGGTGGAGACAAAATGGAATTTTCTTTGAGAGTTACAACAGCAATTATAATGGTCATGGTTTTATAAGTATTGATAACTGCAGTTGTCTTTGTTATCAGAACTCTCATTCCCACAGTTGATTTCAGATGCCTGAACCCACTAAAATACTTAGAAGTAGGCTTTTAAAGAAATGAAGCGCGGCAAAATTTACAATTAAGAGTTTAGTAATTGGAGGCAGTCTGATGTTGAAAAAAAGCAGGTAAGTTGCTCACCAGCTAAGCAGCCTTTATCACTATCATCGCAAGCCACTTCGTTCAAGAATGTTGGAAAATAGTCTTCTGGAAGTTTCCTCCACTGCCAACACAAATTACACAATCCGGACCATCCGGAAGCGATTTCTTCTCCACGTTTATAGTCACAGCCAATTTTGGTTGCCACACCAAGCACTAAGATGTAAAAACAATGATATATTGTGGTCTATCAT